CTTCCCTGCCATTATTTCAACATCCTCAAATTGACTACTAAAACTTATGTTTTGGCAGAATTACCTGAATTAATGAAAAAGTAAAGGAAAACTAGAAATATTAATATAATTATTTCTTAATATCAGAGTAGAAAAGTTTTGTTGTTGTTTCATTGTTGTTTTGTTGTTTCAGCAGTTTTTGTGCCTGAAAATCTTAAAGGATGGTTTATATTATTAACAATGTTTCAGAATGCAACTATTGTATGACTTTGAAAGAGAAGTTAGGGTTTCAAGAGCTAGTCTTAATGTCAGTTATGAATAATTACACTGTAATTTCATCTCATAGGTTATAAACTAAAAAAAAGACAGTTATCTTTAGTTCAAATTAAAGACTGAATGCCCTTTTGTTTTGAGCCAAAATAATTATGTTAAATAAATGTTCAAATACAATCAGACACCTGCCATTAATGAGGAAGAGCTTCCCATTCTTGACAAACCTGTTTATACAAGTTAACCAGTTCCCTCCAAACTTATTTCCTCAATGAGTAGAACATACAATCCAGTTGAGAAAGGAAGACCCTAGTAGTTGAAAGCAGGTGAAGATATGTGTGTGCATGTATGGATTCATGTATACATATTTATAAAAGTGCTACAACAAGATATGACTGATACAAGAGTGAATAAGATAGGACATATACCCTCCCAACAGCTATTTCAATGTGGGACTCAAACACGTACATTAGAAGACACATAGGTTATCTAAACCATACTTGAGAGTAAAGGATGCTGAGTGGACTGACCATGAAAGCAATCAATTTGAAGGTTTTCATTTTCAGATGTTAGTATTGTGTTATGTGACCATATTACAGAGGCCAAATTAATTTACAGGGCAGAATGCATTTCTACTTGAAAGCCATATGTGATTGAAAATAATTGCACAGAAGGTTATGTTGAATTCATATCTAATGGAAAGATTTATAGTTTTCGAAATTTAGCTTAAAAATTCCCAGTGAGGCAGTATGTGTATATGCATATACGATATGATATGTTTGTGTGTATACATGTATAGGCTGTGGTCATTTAAAGTGAATTCCAGCATAGATGAATGGCCACTCACATGGTCCCTGCAGTCCTTTGAGTGTACCAAAGAGAGTGCCTTCTGCAAGATTTATGAAACATTAGATTAAAGTTTGGCTTCCAGCGAAGGTGTACAAAGTAGTAGACTGTTAGTGGCATCTTATGTAAGTTCCTTTTTATTTTTATGTGAAGTTTAAAGCTATAGAAACATGCTAGATTAGGACATTTTTGGCCACGTTCTCCAATATACATAATGTACATTCATTATTAGTTCAATTCAACAAGTACTAAGCATATATTATATAGAATATTTTCCTAGGCATCGAGGAGTATTCAGAACAAATTTTTAAGCCCTTAAGGAGTCTGTTTTATATGAATAAAAACACAATTGGTTTTATTGCTATATGGATGAGAGTTCTTAATTGCACAAAACAACACAGTTTGCTATTTTAATCAAGAAGGCATTAATTAAAGCATATAAGAAATCTCTAAACTGAACTTCCAGGCACAATTTCTAGGACCATGTTTCTTAGCTTTGTAAGTTTATTTTACACCCCAAGTCCCAGAAACATGCAGCGTCTGCTAATACCTGTGCCAGCAAAATGGATGTCCCATGCCCAGAATGTTTCCTCATCTGGATCCCCTCAGA